AGTTCTTTGAGATAAAGTAGCAGCAAAACAAATGACCCGTTTTGGTGGGAGGGCAAGACTCACACTAGGCCATAATCAGCAGCCAAACCCCCCAATAATAAAGCAAACATAAAACAGAAGGCAAAGTAGCAACCCAAACCGAACGTGTGTCTCAGGGATCACATAACATTATGCACGCCTGCACGTGACCACAAATTGAGTGGGTATGCCAGCAGTACCAGTCAGTCTCACTTTAAGAACCAACCAAGCAACCACTCCATTTACTACCAGGTCAGTCGACTGGTGTTTCTTACACACTGAGATATGGCACGTTTCCCTCAACGCCAGTTGCCCGACTGAGGTTAGAATGCCAACTGGGTAAGATGCTGATTCCGAATTCATGCTCATAATCAGGCGAAGAAGCGAGGGCTTAACAATTAACATGAAAAGCATTTGACAAATTATGTTCAACAGTGAGTGAGCGACGAGCAAGCGAGTGGTGACTGAATGACTGTGAGTGAATTAAAACCCATTATCTACTAAGGCCACCAATCCACCACCCCATCCAAATGTTTTTTACGGATATTATGAATTAGAATTTGATTTGTTTGCCGTAAGCTTTTTTATTTTTCTTTGGCAGGGGGAAATGTCATGAAAAGGCGAGTGGAGGGGGTGAATGAATATATGTCACCACATGCCTATGATAAGTATTGTTCGTAACCATTGTTTTTTTGGGATTAAATTCATTTATGCCCCCGGGTCATTGTTGGATATTGGAAATGTTTTGTCATTTATTTGGCATTTGTTGAATATTTTCATTTGCGCAGACAAAAACTTTAGTTTGCGGCAATTTTGAAATAAAACAGGATATTATGGAAGTTGTCAACGATTCATTGGGAATGAGATGGAATTTTGTTGTTATTTCAAATACGTTTTTGTTGAATGAGAGATTTTTTTTTTTTTTTGGTTTATTGTTTTAAAATAATTTCGATGAACAAATGTCCAAACCCTGTTTCCTGTTTTACAGCATTTGTAAACACTATTGTTCGGATTTTAATTAGCACTATTTTGTTTCAACTTGAGGTGTGAGTTGGGTTTAGTTGAATCATTTATGGACAGGCATATTTTTGAACAATTCTGGTTCAGGGGTCGAAATTTCTTATCGTTTGCACCATTTATTGAAGTGCATATCAATTTTGGCATTCCGTTTGAACTACATAGTTTCTTGCAACTCTGCAAGCTAAATTTTGAGATATCGAGAAATTTAGAATTTAGCCACAAATTTGGAAAAAGTTTTAAAATTTTATTGGAATTCAACTAAAATTTTTAATGCCATTTAGTTGGCTGGATACCAAAAATTTTGAAGAATTGTATGTCCTCAGCCATAGGGCTATACGGTTTTAGACCCTAGGACTCTTTGGACCAAATCCGTTTCAGGGTATTTGGATTCGATCTAGCCATGTCCGTCGGTCTGTCTGCCTGGTTTTGAACGATAATTCTCGACGGGAGTATCCGATATGGTCCAAACTTGGTACATCGTAATATTAGTATCAAACTTAGATCGAGTTCGCAGATGGGCAATATCGGTCCACTCCTTCTGGTACCTACCCCAGAAAAGGTTGAAATTTTCAAAAATAAAAGTATTTTCTGCGCAGAAAGAGAAGGAATAATCCGATTATTCTATTTGCAAATCCTGATATTTTCGTCAGTTCTAGGTCCACTCGGCCCACTCCATCAAGTACCTCCCCCACAAAGGTTCAAAATTTTGAATAATTATAATTCTCATAAAATGTGATGTATAAGTCCGATTGTCTTCAAATTTCACACATCACAACAATTTTATTAACCGAAGGTCTGGTGTTAAGATGGAATATATCGAATTACTCCTTCTGAGACCTACCCCACAAAAGGTCGAAGTTTTTAAAAAAAAGTGTTTTCTGCACAGAAAGAGAATCAATAATCCGATTTTGCTCCAATTTTGTAAATCCTAATATTTGTGTCAGTTCTAGGCCAGGTGCAAAAATGGATAATATCGGTCCACTCCATCAAGGACCTCCCCCACAAAGGGTCAAAATTTGGAATAATTACAACTCTTATAAAATGTCATGTATGAGTCCGATTGTCTTCAAATTTCACACTATTTTTATGAACCCAAAATCTGGCAGTAAGACGGAATGAATCGGTCCACTTCTTCTGGTACCTTCTGGTGAAGCTCATAAAATGCCAAATTAATATCCGATTCCATTCAGACTTGGCTCATCTCAATATTTCGATCAACACAAGATCTGTTATAAAGATGTTACAGTTTGGACCATTCCTTCTGGTACTACCCCCACAAATGATCAAAGTTTTGAATAAACAAAACAATTATAAAATCCGAAAAACAAAACAATTATAGCAACCGATTCTCTTTATATTTCCCATTATTTCTACTAACACAAGATCTGATGTGAAGATTGTATTTACATGTCCACTCCTTCCGGTATCTCAAAATTTTGAATAAGCATGCTGCTCATAAAACACGAAATTAAGATGCGATTCCATTCAGACTTTGTACAATATATTTATTTCCATCAACACAAGATCTATTATAAAGATGGTAGAGATCGGATAATTTCTACTGGTACCTGCCCTACTATATCTGGCAACTCTCTCACATTTCAACATTTTCTAAAAATTAGCACATACTCGTATCTCATATAAAGTGAAGGAACTAGTCGATATAGTCCAAACCCGGCACGTCACAATATATATCATATTTTTTATGTCCCATACGCAATTAACAATATTGGCCCATTCTTTCGGATCCTGCTCCATATAGGGTCAACAATTCGAATAATCATACCAGAAGTCAATCGGACAATACGTGGACAGATGGACGGACATGCATAAATCGACTCAGAATGTGATTCTATGAAGATTATCAAAAGGAACTATATCGTTTCCTTCTGCATGTTACAAACAAGTGCCCAAAGACATAATACCCTGTGCCCCAGTGTAGGGTATAGGTAAGAGGATGCGAGGTTGCTTAGCAACCACTCCACCCGGAGACCTGTTGTGGCGTAGTGTATGTCCATCTAACCGAAGAGAGCGAAGCCCATATCGTCATCGGACTCTTCGGGTTCTTCTTCCTTCTTCTTTTCTTCCTTCTTGGCTTCAGCAGCTGGGGCAGCGCCAGCAACTGATCCATTGACGGTGATCAAGTCCTTAACATTGACACCTTCCAAAGCCTTGGCGAACAAACCGGGCCAGTAAGGATCAACTTCGACTGACTAAGAATCAATGCCCAGGCGATATGGCTGAAGCTAAAACCTTAAAATTTTGCAAGTCTTGATGCGTAGGCGTAAGGCTGGGGTTTTGGAAATAAGACTAAAAGGACATGAAAAGTACTGAAAATTAATACTTTGTATTGGACAAACGGAATGAGCCAGAATTCTCATGGAATGAGAGTCACTGATGAAGTGCAGGATAGATGTACCAAAGCATTTTTGGAAATTCGCACTTTAAGATTACGGAAAGTACTAAAATGGTACCATTTGGTATTATCAAAGTATCAAATAGTAAAATATACAAATCATCATGAATAGACTCACGCTTGAACAGCACTACGAAATTATCCAAATTTACTTTGAAAATCAAGCTCTAGAGCAGTTAACAAATGACCCGTTGTTTTATCGCAAAATTGTGTTCAGCGATGAGGCACCTTTTAGGGCTTAACGGGTTTGTCAATAAGCAAAATTGCCGCATATGGAGTGAGACCAATCCACCAGAGACCCTACAGACACCATTACATCCAGAAAAATGCACCGTATGGTGCGGTTTTCACGCTGCTGGCATCATCGGAGCTTATTTCTTCAAAAATGAGGCCGGAGCTCGCGTTGCGGTCAATGGAGATCGTTACCGCACCATGATCAATGATTTTTTGTTAAAAATATGGATGACATTGATCCGGAGGAGATGTCGTTTCAACAGGATGGCGCTACGTGCCATACTGCGAACGCAACCATCGACTTATTGAAATGAAAATTTGGCAACAAGTTGATTTAGAAAAGTGGACCTGTCAATTGGCCTTCAAGGTCGTGCGATTTGACACCTCTCGATTATTCCCTGTGGGGCTACGTAAAGCCACTGGTTTAGTCTGATAAACCAGCAACAATTGACACCTTGGAGGCCAGCAATTGTCGTCCAGAACGCACCGTCAGCCGCGGTGCCCATATGCCCGAAATCATTTTCAAATGTTAATGTCACGTATTGATCTTTCGAGTAAAAAAAATTTGATTAAAATTTAATTTTTCGTGTTATTTTTTAGAATTTCGAGTTCTATGTCCGAGGTCTGCGGCCAAAATGTTTGCGTGCCCAAGGCTATAATACACCCTCCAGAATATTTTCACGATAATATTTGACATTTATTCTGATGCCACGGTCGATTAATACGAGCGGAGAGTGACCATCGGCTGTTATGGCGGCCCACACCATCACCATGGACGACGCTTGAGTTCTGGAGGCACATCGAAGGTGCATATTTTCAGCTGACCTTTTTGGCAAATAAACACGATCATTTTGTTGGTTTACAAACTGTTGGACAACGAATCTCTTCTCATCGGAGAAAACCAATTTCGGCAGTTCACCACCACTTCGAATAAAAACAACTTTGATTAAAATTTAATTTTTCGTGTTATTTTTTACAATTTCAAGTTCTATCGGGCTTAAAGAAACACCCTTTATATAGTAGAACAATTGACAGGACTTACCTGTGTATGAAATCCATGTTCTTTTTTTTCCTGACACATTCTTCCAATTTAGAGTTCCTTAAAAAAATAAATCTTCAACGTTTTTTTTTTTAATTTTAGTAATTATATTTGAATAGATTTTTTATTAACATGAAATTTTCACAATGGAGATAGGATAGAAAGGGTTGTTGTTTTTGTTTTTATCATTACATTTAATTGCTTAGCAAATATGTTGTTTTTATTGTTGTTTTTTTCATTTAACAATTTTTCTTTTTTTTTTTACAAAAATTGTATTAGTTTATCAAATTGCACATAGAATACGTAAATCGTAAGTTATTCTTTTTTAAATTTAATTCAAAATTATATAATCGTAAAATTTTCTCAAAATATTTCATTTTTTTATTATAATAACTATTTAATCTTCTAACAAATAGGAAGTGTAAATGGTAGTGATTAAGGGATAGATTTTATTGCATAAAAAGGGGAACATGCACCTATTTGAAAAATTGTATTTAATTCTAATCGTATACAGTATGTTTTTCCGATTTGGAGTAAAGGTTAATTTCATATATTTTCACATGTAATTTCAACAATAGCTTTAACCCGTTTCAATAAATATGAATTCCTGGCATTTAGGTAAGAATTAGGGTTTTGATATCTTCTCAGACCTATGGTACAAATTTATGACAATTAAATTTTTTGAATATAAGAACTTGCTACGATCCCGTTTAAAGAGAGTTTTAACCATATTTTGAGGGTTAATATTTAAAATCAAAATACTCTTCGTACTGTTGCCTCTAATATTGCCAAAGAAACTATATAACTAAACTGCATGGATTGCAAGGGATCTTAACCCGAAATTTTTCAAAAATATGAAGATGTATCAGCGATTTTTAAATTTTCAAAACGCTGATACATGGTCTTCTATTTTTATACCCTCCACCTTGAAACGGAATTTTGTCCTTCCGTTTGTAACATTCCTAAATATTCGTCGTAGACTCCATAAAGTATATACAGGGTGAGATGAAAAAACTGCAACCGACTTCAGACTGCTGTCATTTCTAAGCCACTTGTCCGACATTGTTTGTCATTACATTGTTTACAAGCGTACAAAATCATTTTGGTGAGAATTTTCCAGAAAAATGACCGAAAAATGGCTCGTGAACTGAACATATCGCAATATTCCATTCCGCAAATATTGAAAAAATGAGCTCGGGGTAAAGCCATTGAAATTCTAAAAAGTGCAAGAACTTACACAAAAGAAAAGAAACAACGGAAAGAAAATAGACTCAAAAGAGCTTAAGAGTTGCTTCGGTTAGCCAAAAGTGGTGAACTGCCGAATTTGGTTTTCTCCGATGAGAAAACATTCGTTGTCCAGCAGTTTGTAAACAAACAAAATGATCGCGTTTACTTGCCAAAGAGGTCAGCTGAAAATGTACATCTTCGGTTGGCCATCAAGCGCTGGCCATGGTGATGGGCCGCCATAACAGCCGATGGTCGCCCTCCGCTCGTATTAATCGACCGTAGCATAAGAATAAATGCCGAATATTATCGAGAATATATTCTAGAGGGAGTATTAAAGCCTTAGGCATGCGAACATTTTGGCCACAGACCTTGGACATTCCAACAGGACTCAGCAGCATCGCACTCAGCATGCGCCACCCAAAAATTCTTACAAAATGAGGTTCCTCGTTTCATTTCCAGCGCACAATGGCTAGCAAAATCTCCGGATACCAGTCCGTTGAACTATTGTGTCTGGAGTATTTTGGAAAGCAAGGTTGGTACTAAAACATACCAAAGTGTCGATCACCTCAAGCAAGCGCTTTGCCGGGAATGTGCCAAAATATCGCAGACAAAGGCAGCGTGTGACGGTTTCAATAGCCGTTTTAAAGTCATAATTCGTGCCAAAGGTGACCAATTCGAACAAATCTAAACTCATTCTAAAATTTGATCCCATTTCCGACATTTTTTGTTTTCATTCAATAAAATTAAAAATTATGGCGCTTGACTTTATTGCAGATTTTTACGAGATTAAAATTTCATACTTCATCTAATACAATATAAATATTGGTGCAACATTTGGAGGAAATCGAGCATTTATATCAGATCAGATATATCAGACTTTTGGTTAAGAGAAATATCTAGATAAAGCAAATTGTAAAGAATCACCGTAGTATTGAAAATTATGACCCTTTGTGGGTGAGGTACCAAAAGGGGCAGATATACATCATCTTCACAACAGATCTTGTGTTAGCAAAAATATTTGGATGAGTGAAATTTGAAGAGAGGTGGATGCTAATTTCGGACTTTATGATCCTTTTGGTTATTCAAAATGTCGAACCATATGTGGGAGAGGTACAAAAGAAATGATCCGATCCCTGCCATCTTTAATACAGATCTTGTGTTTATGGAAATATTGAGATGTGCCAAGCATGAGTGGAATCGGATGTTAATTTTGTGTTTTATGAGCTTCAAGAATATTCAAAAGTTTGACCCTTTGTGGGGAGGTACCAGAAAGAGTGAGCCGATATATCCCATCTTCACACGAGACCTTTGGTTAATAAGAATATTGCGATGTGTGTGTTATGCAAAATTTTGACCCTTTATGGGGGAGGTACTGGATGGAGTAGACCGATATTGTGCAAATGTTGTATCACTGGTGAAAATATCAAGATTTGAAAAGTTTGAACAAAATCGGATTATCCTTTCTCTTTCTGTGCAGTAAATTATTTTATTTGTAAATGTTGACATTTTGTGGGGAAGTACCAGAAGGAGTGGAACATCTCTGAACTCGATCTAAGTTTGAAAATATGTCCTGAAACGGATTTTTTCCAAAGAGATCTAGGGTAAACCTACTCTAGTCATATGGCTGAGGGTATAAATATGGGGAAAATTATATGAAAATTTGCTTCTTTTTATATTTTTTTTTTATTTTTTCCGTGTTCGACTTTTAGGTGCGCTATGGTATATTCTGAGACCTGTAGTAAATTTTATGACTATCACTTTTTAATGGAGTTTAAGAAGAAAAGTTCTTAAAATATCTCTTTAATGGCTCAACTGAGGGTAAAATATTTCTCAAAATCTTAACAGTAACATTGCTGAAGGCATTATGTACTTAAAATGTATGGAGTCCAAGAAATTTTAATTCGAATATTTCCAACAATGTAAACATGGACAGAACTTCTCCATCCTACTTTTGAGAAACCTTTCGATGTCAACTTTTAAAAGGCCAATATAGAATTATATCTCTACATTCAAAATTTACTCGGTTTTCTTGTAATTTTTGCATTTTGTGGGGGAAGAATTCATTTCAAATAACTTTTTAAAATTTCGATTCGAATTTGAAAAAATATATTTCAAATTACATGTGAAAATATAATCAGGAGTATATTTTACATAGTTGTGGCGTATTAAGATTTCCGAAGTAATTAGTATATTAAATATGATGGGGTGGATTATGGGAGATTATTTTTTTTCTCGAGTGTAGGCTATATAGACTATGAATGAGCAACTATTATAGACTTATAATCATGTGCAAATTTATCTTGATCTTTATGCTGGATGGAAGGGCGAACAATGTGGCGGTGTTGTGTTCTGTTTTTTTTTGTTCCATTGTCGATAGATAAGTAGGTAGGCAGGCAGGGGATACTGTTTACCAAGGGATTATCCTCCGCCAAATCAAGATTATTTTGTATCATGCTCATGTGTGAAGGAATATGTGTGGCATGGGTGAATAGTTTGGTTGTTGGTGTTCACATATGGATATTTTGAGTTTTTTTGGTGTGGATTTTATCTATGATCTCTAGATTATGGATACCATCATTCTGGCCTGATGGTGATTGGTGTTGTTAGAGGGTTTTTTTTGGACAATATTTTTTTTCATTTTTATTTTTTTTTTCTTTTATATTTTTTTTTTGTTCATTGAAGTTAAAAAATGTTTTGATTTATGAAACAAAAAAAGAAAAATTTCAACGAGGATTGTTTTACTGATCCTCTAAATCTTCAGTGTAATTATGGTTTCGTTTCGTTTATTTTTTTATTATACATGGCTTATATATTGCTTAGAGCAGCAGACTTCTTATTATTCTCACATTCATTCTCGTTTTTTTTTTTTTTTGCAACATTTTTGACTCTTCTTCCCGCTGTCGGCTTTCTTGCCGGAGTTTCTTTTACAATTTTTCAAAGGCATTGGCATTTGTTAGCATTTCTCTTGTTAAACGCCAGACTTGTTTGGCGGCCTGTTCCAAGGCGCTCGGCGATTTACCCTTAAATAAATCCAAGGTTGGTAGGAAATAATGGGGACATCTTCGATATTGCAGACAGGATATTAACTGAAGGAATATGCCATTTATACGATCGGCAATACACGGTTCATCCCATTCAAAATCCCGAGGATGTTTTTCGCATTCGTAGAGCAGTAGCGTCTTCAAGTGATAGGCCGTTATCGGGTTGCCGGGTAATTCTAAATGACGATCACGCAGAGTCTTCAAGATACTCAAGCAGCGACGGCGGCAACCACCTGGAAGTGAGGGGGAAGGATTAATGTTTTTTTTTACTAAAAATCGAAATTGAATATTTTGAGGTTTTGATGAACGAAATTGTCAAAAATTTTTGATATTTCTCCAAAGATAAGAGTTAGCAAAGTATGTTCAAAGTAACAAAGTACAATCCTACACTCCTGATTTTTATACCCTTCATCATTCTATGGAGGGTATATTAACATTGTCATTCCGTTTGTAACTCCTCGAAATATTCATAATAGACCCTACAAAGTATATATATTCTGGATCAGCGTAAAATTCTAAGACGATCTAGCGATGTCCGTCTGTCTGTCCGTCCGTCCGTCTGTCTGTCTGTTGTAATCACGCTATCTGTCGAACGAATTGAGATAGAAGGCTAAAATTTTGCATACATGCATAGTTTACCAGTAGGCAGGATAAATTCGTAAATGGGCCATGTCGGTCCACGTTTTTGTATAGCCCCCATATAACGGCACCTCACGATATTCGGTATTTTTATGATTTTAGCGACATTATTTACCCGAATTATTTCAAATTTCGTATTTGAAGTTCGTAATAGCTACTACAGCCTATGACAAAAATTTTTGTATGCAGGTCCAAGTCTTCGTATAGCTCCCATATAACGGTACCTGCCGATATTCGGTATTTTGATGAATGCTGCTGAGCATTATTCAACGGCATCGTTTCAAATGTCGTACTGGAATATACCAATGGGTACTGCAGCCTATGGAAAAAATAGCGTATGCAGGTCCACGTCTTCGTATAGCCCCTATATAACGGTAAGTCCCGATTTATCGAAATTATTTAAAATTTCGTATTTGAAGTTCGTAATGGGTGCTACAGCCTATGACATCGCATAGTCCCCATGTAGCGGTTTTCAATTAAGTAGTAGTTTTCCGATTTTTTTTTTTTTGAAAATTTTCAAGTTCCTTCCAAATGGTGGGGGTATTAAAAGTTCGGCCTGACCTAACTTATCTGCTTTTTTACTTGTTTTTAAAACTACATTCATATCTCAATCATGTAATTCCATAGAAAACTTATTTCCAAATTCCACCTCCAATTTGTACCAAATTTAGTACTATTTAGTACACATAAGTACAAATTTCCACACAACCTATATCACACACTCCATTAGAAATCTAATTTCCCAATTTCAGGATTCCAGCCCAAACAGTTTACCCAAATCCAAATTGTACCAAATTTAGTACTATTTAGTACAAATTTCCAAAAATTCCTACATACCCCAATTCTACACTCCAACACTAATCTTAATTCCAAATATCAGATTTCAAACTCCATCGATTCACTCAAATCCAAATTGTACCAAATGTAGTACCATTTAGTACATATAAGTACAAATTTCCAAAACTACCCCCATATTCCAATCCTACACTCCGACTGTAATCTTATTTCCAAATTTCAAAATTCCCACATCCAACGGTTCACAATTCCAATTTGTACCAAATTTAGTACCATTTAGTACATATAAGTACAAAATTTCACAGGTACCTACATCATACAATCCAAAGAAATCTCATTTCCCAATTCCAGGATTCCCAGGAGCCCAAATCCAAATTGTACCAATGTAGTACCATTTGTACATAAGTACAAATTTCCATACAACCAATATCACACAATCAATTAGAAATCGTATTTCCAAATTTCAGGATTCCTGCCTAAACTCTTCACCCAAATCCACAGTGTACCAAATTTAGTACACATAAGTACAAAATTCTAAAACTTCCTACATACCCCAATTCTTCACTCCAACACTAATCTTAATTGAAAATTTCAGGATTCCAACTTTATCGGTTCACTCCAATCCACGTCCAAATTGTACCAAATTTATTACCAGTTAGTCCACATAAGTAACAATTTCCAAAACTATCCCCATAATTCTACACTCCAAATGTAATCTTATTTCCAAATTTCAAAGTGCCAGCTCCATCGGTTCACCACAATTCCAATTTGTACGAAATTTAGTACCACTTAGTACACATAAGTACAAATTTCCACAACTACCTACATCATACAATCCATTAGAAATCTTAGTTTCAACTTTCACGATTCCAACTCTATCGGTTCTCTCAGGATTTAAATTGTACCAAATTTAATACCATTTAGTACACATAAGTGCGAATTTCAAAGTCGACCTACATACCCAATCCTACAATGTAATAGTATTCTTATTTCCCAATTTCAGCTATCTATCGGTTCACCCAAATCGAAAATGTAACAAATTAAGTACCATTTAGTACTTTTCGTGCACAAAAGTATAAATTTCGAATACTACCTGCATGTCATAATCCTTCTCTACGTCAGTGATGTTAATTTTAAATTTCAGGATTCCAGTTTCATCCATTCATTCAAATTGGACTTGTACTAAATTTAGTACCGTTTAGTACTTTTTGTATACATTTCCAAAACTACCTCCTTACATCGACCCTACTCGGCAACCTTGATTCCCATTGTAAATTTTAAGTTTTTAGGTCTAACCGTTCAAATGATACGAAATGGTACCAAATATAGTACATTTTAGTATTTTTCGTAAATTTATGGTGCGAATTTCCAAAAATCCTTTCGGATGAAGATATATAGAACCTATATTCAAGTCCGAATCGATCTCTATACAATTTAGCAGAGATGTTTCTGAGCTGTATCTAAAATATGGTCCAAAATAGAGTGCATATTACGAAAATGAGGGACTTGAACACCACATCGGGTGATACATATGAATGGGAGCTGTAACTATATATGAACTGATTTTCACCAAATTTGTAGTACTTCTAGGCTGAATTCAGTCGCGTGTGCCGAAATACATCTTATTTGGACGAATATTATACATATGACGCACAATAAAATTAAAATCGGACAAATATATAAATGACATGACGGACAAATATATCTAAATTTGGACCGATTCATCTCAATTTCAATAGAGTTCGTTTTTGGGTGAAACAACTAATTTTTGGAAAATTTCATTTCCGTCGGAAAATAAGTGCTACCTGTACTTTGTTTACAAAATTACATGGACAGACGGATATTCCATACTCTCTGAATAGAAAAAAATATAATATCATAAGATAACACCCATGTTCACCCTTACCTTGCAGCAGACGATTTTCGGCCTCGAAAAAACTCAACACCCATGCATCGCCTTCCATGCTGGCGGCATTATTATTTTTATTCTGAAATATAACACTTTCCTTGGACAACAAATCAAATCCTTCGGTTTTCACCTCAGCCACAATACTCGGATGCGGCCACGGTATATGCGGCATTGGCCAATGTGCTGCCGAACGCGGCCATATGCCGGAACACTTGAATGCCGGTGTTATTTGAACTATAAATCGTTCACGAATTCGCAGCTTCACTTCCGTTGTATCGCCAATCATTTTTACCATATCTCGATAAATACTCTTATCGCATGCCTGTGCAACTAGGGTTTGAAATCTGGCGCGTATTTTACGTGATGACAGATAACCCGATGCTGTTATGAATTCCACCCACAGTGACATGGAACGTTTGCGGCCATCGCTCAGCTTGAGGACAGCACAGCCGGGCAGGGTGCCATCATCGACAAAATTGAAGACACCCATTTGATTGAGATACAAGACGATTTCGAATTCATTGGGAGAGATGACTTCGACGCCTTCAAATCTGAAAATAAAAACGAAAAAAGAAACATGAGTTGGAGGGTAATGTTGTATGAAATCAACGTCCAGACGAAACGGAAAAAAGTCTTGAAAATTTTCACGAAGGTCGGTCTTGGTGTAGCGTGTGATAAGGCTGGGTTTTTGGAAATTCGTACGATAAGGGTACGAAAAGTACATAAATGATGAATGAACTAGAACTCTGAAATTTGGTATGAGACTTACCGATGCAGAGCAGGTTAGATGTATTAAAGGGTTTTGGAAAATACGGTACTCAAGGTTTCGAAAAGTTCTAAAATAGTACTAAACTTCTAAAATGGTACCATTTGGTATGATTTATAAGGATAGAGGTAAAAAATGAATCAAAGTTGAAAAGTAAGTTTAATATCTGAAGGTGGATTCGGAAATGTGTACTAAGTGTACAAACTGTACTAAGTGGTACTAAATTTGGAAATTTGGAATATGAAATTTTGAAATACTGTATTGGGTTCCCTGTTGGAGGTAGATTTTTGATAAATAAATGGTTTTGGGAACATGTACTATAAGTGCTCGAAAAGTACTAAATAGTACTATATCTGGTACAATTTGTATTGGGTGAACAGACGGTGCTTGAAATCTAAATTTTGTGTTAGGGTCGCTGTCCATGTATTGCTTGGACAAATAAAGATGGTTTCGGAAATGTGTACTATAATTGTACGAAAAGTACTAAATGGTACTATATTTGGTATTAGGTAAGAGGATAGAGATAGAATTCTGAAATTTAATATTTATTCAATTTGGTATGAGAATCAAGGTTGGGAAGTAAGTAGTAAGAAGTAGGAAGTAAGTAAGAAGGTGGTTTTGGAAATGTGTACTAATTGTGTCAACTGTACTAATTGGTACTTAATATGGAACAGTTTGATTAAAGGTGAAGGGGTGAAGCAGGAATTTTGAAATTTTGTTTTGTAGTCCCTGCTGGTGGTAGGTTTGCAATACAGTGGTTGTTTTGGAAATGTGTACTACAAGTGCACGACAATTACTTAATAGTGCTTGATTTGGTACAATTTTGTATTGGGTGAACAGATTGTGCTTGAAATTCGAAATTAGGATTGCTTCCCATGTATAGCCTGAGCATATAAATGTGTTTTCCGAAATGTGTAATATAATTGTACGAAAAGTACTAAATGGTACTATATTTGGTATTAGGTAAGAGGATAGAGATAAAATTCTGTAATATTTATTAAATTTGGTATGGTACTGGTATGGAAATGGTACTAAATGTGGAATAGTTTGGTTAAAGGTGAGCGGGTGAAGCAGGAATTTTGAAATTTTGTTTTGAATTACCTGCTGGTCGTAGGTTTGCAATAAAGAGGTGGCTTTGGAAATGTGTGCCACAAATGCACGAAAAGTACTAAATAGTGCTTGGGTGAACAGATTGTGCTTGAAATTTTAAATTTCGAATTAGGGTTGCTGCCCATATATAACCTGGACAAATAAAGGGGCTTTCGGAAATGTGTACTATAATTGTACGAAAAGTACTAAATAAAAATGCGTCATATATGTATTGGTAAGAAAAGTACTAAATCGTACTAAATTTGGTATTAGCATTATAGGTATTTGTATTATTAGGGTATTTGATATTGAGACATTGAGATTGGAGGTGGTTCTGGAAATGTGTACTAAAATTTACGAAAAGTACTAAATGGTAACAAATTTCGGTATTGGGTGGAGGGATAAGGCTGGAATAATGAAATATGACATTGAGGTCTTTGTTGGTATCTGCGGTTGAGATATGGATGTGGTTTTGGAAATGTGTACTAAAATTTAAGGAAAGTACTAAATAGTACTAAATTTTTGTATTGGGTGAAGGTATGAAAATACAATTCTGAAATTTGATAATGAGGTCTTTGTTGCTATCTAAAATTGAGATATGGACGTGGTTTTGGAAGTGTGTACTAAGATTTACGAAAAGTACTAAATAGTACTAAATTTTGTATTGACTGAAGGTATGGAAATATAATTCTTAAATTCGATTTTTGGTCTTTGTTGCTATCTGAGGTTGAGATATGGATGTGGTTTTGGAAAAGTGTACTAAAATTTAAGGAAAGTACTAAATGGTACTAAATTTGGTAGTGAAAAAAACAAATTTGGAATGGAAGATACAATTCTGAAATTTGATATTGAGATCATTTTTGCTATTTAGAATTGAGGTATGAGAGTCGATTTTTAAATGTGTACTATAATTGTGCGAAAAGTACTAAATTGTACTTAATTTGGTATTGGCTGAAGGGATAAGTCTGGAATAATGAAATTTCATATCGAGGTCTTTGTTGGTATCTGAGTTTGAGATATGGAGGTGGTTTTGTAAATGTGTACTATAATTGTTCGAAAAGTACTAAATGGTACTATATTTGATATTGGGTGAAGGGATCAAGATAATATTCTGAAATTTGATATTTAGATTAATGATGGTATCTATATTTGACATATTGTGGTGGTTTGGAAATGTGTCCTATATTGGTACAAAAAGTACCAAATGGTACTAAATTTGGCATTGGGTAAAGGGATAGAGCTAAAACCGTGAAATTTTAAATTGCTTAACTGTTGGTGTCTAAAATTTAGATATGAAACGGTTTTATAAAAAAGTACGAAAATTATACGAAACGTACCAAACAGTACTTAATTTGGTATTGGGTGAAGGTATGAAAATACAATTTTGAAATTTCATACCGAGGTCTTTGTTGGTATCTGAGTTTGAGATATGGAGGTGGTTTTGTAAATGTGTACTATAATTGTTCGAAAGGTACTAAATGGTACTATATTTGGTATTGGGTGAAGAGATAAAGATAAAATTCTGAAATATGATATTAAAATGAATGTTGGTATCTATGTTTGAGATTTGGTGGTGGTTTGGAAAAGCGTCCTACATTGGCACAAAAAGTACCAAATGGTACTAAATTTGGCATTGGGCAAAGGAATAGAGCTAAAACCGTAAAATTTTATATTGCGATAACTGTTGGTTTTTAAGATTGGTTTGGTGCGAAAACTAACAATATGGGACCACTCCATCAAGTACCTCCCCCACAAAAAGGTCAACAATTTCAATAATTTTAACTCTTATAAAATGTGATGTAAAAGTCCGATTGTCTTACAATTTCACACATCACAATATTTTTATTAACCCAAGGTCGGGAACGAAGATGGATTATATCGGCCCACTGCTTCTGGTACCACCCCTACCAAGGGTCAACATTTTGAATATCCCTGAAGCTCATAAAACTCGAAATTAACATCCGATTCCATTCAAACTTGGCACATCTCAATATTTTCATTAACACTATATCTGTTACAAAGATGGTTGAGATTGGACCATTTCTTCTGGTACCTCCCCCACATAGGGTTCAAGATTTTGAATAATCAAAACGATCATAAAATGTGAAATAAGCATCCGGTTCGTTACACACATCACAATATTTCTACTAACAAAAAAAATGCTGTGAAGATGGGATATATCGGTCCACTTCTTTTGGTACCTCCCAAACAAAAGGTCAACATTTTTTATATACATCATGCTCATAAAATGCGAAATTAACATCCGAATCAATTCAGACTTCGTACATCCCAATATTTCCGTCAACACTAGATATTTTGTAAAGATGGTAAAGATCGGGCCATTTCTTCTGGTACCTCCCCCATAAAGGTTCAACATTTTGAATAACCAAAACGTTAAAAAAGCGAAAAAAGCATCTAACTCTCTTTAAATTTCACACATCCAAATATTTTTGCTAACACAAGATCTGTTATGAAGATGATGTTTTTCTTCCAACCCCTTCTAGTACCTCGCCCACAAAGGGTCACAATTTCCAATACTTATATTTGTCAAAACCTCACGAAACAAGTCAGCGATTCTTAACAACATGCTATATCTAAATATTTTTCTCAGTCAGAGATATATATGGAATTTATGATTTCGCATAAAATTGGATATAAATGTTCGATTTTTTTTTGTAATTTTACCCATACCAATATTTTGATCTATGTTAGATGAAGCAAGAAAATGGAACACTTCGGCCGACTATATCTGGTACCTCACGCACATTTTAACATTTCCTAAAAATTATCCAACTCTTGCACGTTGTAATATTTATATCAGTCTTAGGACATATACGAATTGGTCAATGCTGGCCAACCGCTTCGGTATCTCCCCCATAAAGCGTCAACTGTTTGAATAATCATAACTCAAGGCAGGGTGTATACATATGTCGGCAAAATCGACTGATAATATTATACTTGTTATACCTCCACTTTGGAAAGGTGGGTATATTAACTTTATCATTCCGTTTGAAACATCTCTAAATATTCGTCGTAGACCCCATAAAGTACATATATTTATATTCAGCATAAAACTCTATGTCGATTTAACGATGCCCATCTGTCTGTCCGTCTGTTGAAATCACGATACAGCCCACATTATTTGACGTAGAGCGTCAAAATTTAGCAGAACAATTTGTATTGCATATAGGATGGTTGGTATTGAAGATGAGATATATCGATCCACATTTTGGTATAGTCCCTCTCGATATACGGTATTTTGAAGGTTTTTGTCACATTTTTTACGGATTTATCTAAAAATTGGTATTTGTTGGTCATAATGCACCGTTGGTGAAACATTATATGTATAGGTCCACGTTTTGGTATAGCTCCGATATAACGGTGCCTCTCGTCGGTATTTTGATGATTTTTGCCACATTTTTACACGAATATGTTCAAATGTTTCTTTTACCCTAAGGTGGAGGGTATTAAAAGTTTGGCCCGGCGGAACGTAACGTTTTTAATACCCTCCGGTATGGAGGGTATATTAAGTTTGTCATTCCGTTTGTAACACCTCTAAATATACATTTTAGACCCCACAAAGTATATATATTCTTGATCAGCATAAAATTCTATGTCGATTTATCAATGTCCGTCCGTCTGTTTATCTGTCCGTCTGTGGAAATCACTCTAGCTTCCGAACGAAATGAAGTAGGT